ATTTCTCAGTGAGACTTAGTTTTCAGTGTTCCATTTCTCCGATCATGGTAGAGAGAAAAAGGTAGGAAGAAAAACGGTCTCACATGGACATAACAGTCTTTTGTGTTTACCTTCAGAAGCTGAGGTGTTACCAGGAGCACGAGTCCTCTTTGCTATGACTGCACTTGGGAGAAGAGAAGAGCTATTCTAGTTTGTGTTTCTAAATTCCAACTTCAAAGAATATATGAATATTAAAAGGTGGTTATTTCAATCTACTAACTTTAAGGGTAATTTGTTAAGGCAATTTGTAAGTAGTAGTAACTAGATTGATAATCATTAATCCATTGAGCTCATTCACTTAGAATTTCAAAGTTTTGTCTTGAATTGAGAAAAATTGTGTATATTTCTGGGATCAAATTTGTTATTTCATTGCATGTGGACACTGAGAAATTATCAGGTCAAAATAATCAATATATCCTTTATCTTAAATATGTATCATTTATTTCTGATGAGAACACCTTAAATTTCTGTCTTTTGAAGTGTGTATTATTAACTATAGTCGCTGTGAGTTTGTCAGTTATCGGTTTTCTTATGTTGTAGAACATTCTTTTTGCCAAAGATACTTAGAGTTTTTATCAGAAAATATGAATGCTGGATTCAGTCAAGTGCATTTCTACATCTTTTGAATTGTTTATATAGTTTTTGTTCTTTATTCTCTTACTATGCTTGAATCATCTTAGCTAATTTACATATGTTGAAACATGCTTATCCCCCAAGGTGATAGAAATCCCACTTGGTAATGTTGGGTAATCTTTCATTACGCTCTGACTGTTAATTGTGCTGTGACAGCTTGACTTAATGAAGAGATGTCAAGAGAGTAGTAAAGCACACGTTGGGTGTGTTTGCGTAGGCTATGGAGGCTAACCTTGGGAACTGTACCTCTGCACTCAGGCCTGCCTCGTGAGCTGTTCTACTCAGTTTCCTGTGTTCTACTAGCCACCATGAAGAATGCATCAGTATTCACCTTTCATCTTCCACGATGTTTCCATCTTGGTGTCCACCACTGTTACTGTTGTCCCTAAAACCATAAGCCTAATTTAGCATCTGAACTGTGGACATTGGGTACTGTTCTCAGTTATAACACTGTTACTGAGCAGTTATTTTTGCCTTGAACACAAGGTAATGAGTATTCTTTCCTCATCAATACTTTGGAAGCATTTGAGATGGACTGGCATTATTTCTTCTTTAAATGACTAAGAGTTTAGCCATAGACCCATCTGGTTTGGCTTATCTTTGATTGGAACCATTAATTAATGATAAAATATCCTTATTCTTTATAGATCTACTATGATACTCTATGTGATTCAGTTTCAGTTGATTAAATGACTCTAACATTTTCCACTGTTTTCTTTTCTAGGTTAATCAACTTGCTGTGACATAATAATGTTTTATGAGTATTTGTATTTCTATATTACAGTTGTAGTATCTTTACTTTCAGTGATGATTTTTTTGAGATGTCTTTCTTCTTTTCTAGTCTTCCTGAGTGTATCAATTTTGTTTGACTTTTAAAACCCTTAGCATCATTTCTGTTTTCTATGATTTAAGTACTGTTTATTTGTTTCTATTCTGGTCTTGTTATTATCTCTGATGTTAATTTTGGACTTAATTCTTGTTTTTCCAACACCAAATAGTATAATATTAGGTTGTTTATTTTAGATCTTTTTTTCTATAGAGTTTCTATAGGGTTTGTTCCTAGGGCAGCTTTGGCTGCATGAAGTTTTCTGTTCTTTAATGACTGAGGACCACTGAAAACAAAGATATGAATATAAAATGAGTCCACCTGCAGAAACTTTTTACCAATGGCCAGAAGTCCCACCTAGCTGTGAGCATGTGCATTTCTCACAACTTTTCTCTCCTTTTTCATGTAGATAGAATTGGAAATGATAGCTATATTCAGTTTGACCATGTAACAAAAAAAATCTGAATTATACACTTTTGACACCCCACCTGTTTCAGCCACCTCTGGGGTTCTGGCTTCTGTGTTATGGGTCCTGATGCCCTAAATAGAAATGTCACATCCTAATCCTCAAGGATCCATCAAAAGTAGAAATCATATTGGGTAAAAACACAGAGTGGAATGGCACCTTAAAAATCTCTGACCAAATAGATTGGTGAGATCCCTCTTCTTAACACATTTAGGTCTTGCCTGATAAAAGTAAACTTTATAGTCAGGGTTTGACTCTTGAATTTGAACCTAATTTTATACCTTTGTCTCTTTCAAAATACTTTGGGTTTTTGCTTCTTTGTTGTAGCTATAATTAAGAAACAACAACTTCATGGATTATAGGATATTCATTGTGTGATGTGCTTTTCTTGAGTCATTGCTATAGGATGCTTCAATCTCCTTGAGCCACTCTATAATTTCTTCTGTCTCTTTTGTTATAAACATGGCCTTGACCAGAATTTGAGAGAATAACCTGCCTCCTGGAATATAAAAAACTGCCTTACAAGGCTTAAAATTGAAGCAGAGTTAAACCAAGTCAATCCATCAATGTAAGGTGAGTGATAAACTTCATACACTTGATCTTAGCCAAAAGGCCAAAAAGTGATATACGATAAACTTCATATATTGACATATGTTTTCATCTGTCCTTCCTATTCAGGCCAGGTTTTCTGTCCACTACTCCCTAAGACATCTTCCCTCACCATTATCCTCCACCTGGTACTTGACTACATAAAATACACAAGCTACAACATAACCCATTCTTCTAAAGAACAATCCTCCACTCTAGTTCCTGAGTCTCAAATCACCTTCCTACTATAACCATCAGTTGAAGGGGAGAACCATTTATTCATAGATCTACACTAATCTATACTCTTCGTACTGGAATCTACAGTGAGAAAATATGCACTTTAGAAAAATAAAGAATCTGATTCTGAAGCATAAACTGTCCTCTTACACATACTGGGCATCCTGTCATTTTGTCAAGGATGAACCAGGTGGGTGACAGCAGGACCAGAGTCTTCAGGCTACAGGGAAACAGGAAAAGACAGAAGCCATAGTTGTAGAATGCAATAAAAACGATGCGAGAATTCCACTAAATGGTCATCTACCACCAAAAACATCAAGTTACCAAAATGATTTGTTCATTTATACAATAAAAACTATTTAATGTTTGTTACTCTAGATTTGATGGTACTTTTTTTGTGTGTGATTCTCATTATACCGCTGAGAAATGGTCTCTACAGATTCACAAATACATCACCATTTCCAAAGATTTAGAATCTGAGTATACACAAAAAATCCTATGTGTTTTTATGTATGATAAAAGGTGGAAGGAAGGAAGTCAATATAACTAATAAATAAGATATAGTATCAAAATATTTCCTTGCAGAAGATACTTAGCTTGGGCCTGTGAGATAGCTCAGCAGACTAAAGCACCTGCTTAGGCAAGCTTAGGCAAGTAAAGGGACTGCAGTTTGATCCCTGTACCACATGCCAGGCCGGCCTGCCCCCAGGCCTGGCTGAGCCAGCCACACACACACACACACACACACACTCTCTATATATATATATATATATATATATATATATTTGCTAGAAAAATTATTGATTCTCATTATATTAGCTAAGAATATTTTAATACACTTTAGAATAAACTTTCTAGATGATATGAGTTTCATATTTACAATAATCATTATTTTACACATGGATCTGCAAGCCATATATTTTAAATATTATTGTTCCTACATGTAGAAGAATAGTATATAAAGAAATGTAACTGTAAACAAAGGCTCCTGGGAAAAATTATTAGCTGTGTCATTCTCTTCACACCTAGTCATATGATATTAGGTTTGGGTATAATTTTTTTGTCATGCTAGAATCCTGAATTATATAGGCAGTACTTTCTAAAACATTAGATGTGCATTGGTTGCATTTAGTGGAAGCAATAGTTTCACTATACTCTTTACTCAACTACCAGTATAAGTTGGCTGTGAATTCAAAAACAAACCTTGGGTCCAGTGAGATAGCTCAGTGGTCTAAAGTGCCTGCTTAGGCAAGCTTAGGCAACCCCAAGGACCGCGCTTGGATTGCTGCTCCCACATGCTGTGCCACCTCGTCCCCAGGGCAGGCTGAGCCAGGCACAAAAAAAGAAAAAAAATATTGGAGCATTTTCTAGCATGAATCATTATGGTTCACAGATAACCACATCATCACCAAAACACAATTGTGAATGTTTGCAAAGTTGGGTGTTTACATTTCTGGAAAAAGTTATTTTGTTTTGTGTGTGGATTTTTTTTTTAATGTATTTGGTAAAGGGTCTCACTATGAAGCTTGGATTCCTAGTAATCCTTCTGTTTCCAGCCTCTCCAGTACCGATAATACAGGTGCAGCACCACACCTGGTCTCGGCAGCCAGCTCAGTGTGCACAGGGGGTAGTTGGCATGGCCTGTGGGTACAGGGGATTGAACCCCAGTCTCTATACTTGCCTAAGCAGGTGCTTAGTCAGCTGAGCTGTCTTGCAAGCTCTGTATGCTCAATTTTTATGGGTGAAACGGTATTACATTGAAACGGTGGAGGGGATACAATAAATCATCAGTTAATTATCAGCAATCTGAATGTTTAATATATAATCACTTTTTCTTCTTTAATCATACTTTGCATATGTTTGAAATTTGTATGATAAAGTGTTTAACTACCTGTATTACATTGAAGACCATTTTTGCTGCTTATCTAGATAGAATATTTTAGAATGCTATATTATTTGTGTATTTTTTATTAATTTTAATGAGAAAGAAATAGCAATAAGACAGTTTCAAGACAGGTTAGTAGGACAGTTACAATAATTAATGTATTGCATATTGTTGTCTTTGTAGTAGTTATTCAGAGTATAAGATGCAGACATGTAGTGGAGAAAAATAAAGAAAAACAAAAAGAAAAATATATATCTGTATATACAAAATAGTTAAGATAGAGATATAGTTACTTTCTCTTAGTCCAATAAGAAGAAAGATTTGTATTAATAGAGCTTAGACAAGAGATTACCATATTTTGGCACAAGTTTTCTCTCCAATGAAATGCCAAATATTGTTCTCAATACTTCTTCTATTTCTTTGTCCTCCAGGATTTTAAATTATACAAGTTCTATGTTTTGCTTATAACTGAATCTCCCTTCTAGCGTCTGCATGGAACACACTGATTTATTTTTAGACACTGCTGTTGGGGGTTTCTGAAGGTGTGCGTTCATGGACTCAATATCTTCAATTGTTTAAGGTTTAAGAGTAAAGGGATAGGTTTTCTGATACTTCATTTCCAGATGATCAGAATGAAGACATTCTGGTTTGAAGTGTACTGTTCTCCTCTGATGTGGTTCAGGTACAAGGTTTCATTTTCTTCTGTTAAGTAAAAAATGTCAGGCACTTGAGGCTGATCCTTCCCAGAAATTAACTCCAGAGGCTCCCAGAACTGGTAGAAGCATCCAAACCCAGCGTCAGCAACGTAGCTTCTGCCATTGAGTGTCATGTGTACCAGAAGGTGGATCACACCACTGCTATAATTATCGACTGAAGAGTTGCGGAAGTGTCCTCCAAAAATGTGCTCTCCAATTTCATTGTGGTCAGAGTTCTGTATAGACCATGATGTACCTGGAGACACCAGCCACCTCAGTTCTTTCTCCCAATTTGATTCAAAAGAGTCTTTACATGCAATCCCTGCATCCTCCTCAGTGCATGCTAAGGTTCTCAACAGGAACAGCTCTGATGTGCTGCTGAAATACATCAGCTACTGTTTCCAGGTACAGTTTGCTCTTCAAGTTCTTATAACCTATTCCTTCAAAACATTCTTCAATCTCTGTGGTCTCCTGAGACAAGGCGAACAAACCGAAACAGAAATATTATTAAATGTACTCTTGGGTTTTCGTTTATCTAGAATGCATTTTAAATATGTAAATACAAACACTGTTTATAAATATCTGTAATAAAATATATGAATTGATTTATATTTGTAAACAATGAGGAATGTGAGGTTGTGCTTTTGCCCAGGGAAAAATAACTCAGAAAGGAGGACAGCAAATGCACAGTGTTTCAGTTTCAATTCTGTTAAGGAAAGCCTTATGAGACTTCCTGGATGCTGCGCAATGAATCCTGGGGATAAGTGCAGGAGAGATTGTTCCAAGCAGAAGAAACAAATTCAAAGAGCTCTATGTTGGACGCTGCCTGGAGAGCTCAGGACATTTCTAGGAACACACATTTTCACAATGGCAGCAGATTGAAGGGAAAATGCACAGATTGCAATCAGATCAGATCGGTCACAGTGTCCTTATGACACTAGCCTTTTGAACTTACCGAAAATGAAGCAAAATATCTAAGTAGCAGAGAGGCAGGCAGATGGTTATAACTGCCAGCATTTACCACACTCAAAGTCATTTTTCTGGATGATCATATGAAGTAGAAAAGAACAATGAAAACAGTTGTGTCGAGGACCAGTGATCGGTCATGACTGCCATGTGATTCAAATAGATCAGTGAGACTTCACTGGGAAAATGATGTGTTGTGTAAGGAACCAGAAGGTCATAAGATGTCAATCAAAAGCTACTAGAAAGAATTTGCTAGAGAAAAAAAAAGCACTAATAATGAAAACAAAGGGAATTATGGGAAAGGACCTTAACGAAGCCCATGCTGCTTTTAAGTGTCACATAACTTCAAGAAAAAGAAAAAAAAAAAAAAAAAAAAACCCAAGAACAATGACACTACCCTCCATGAAAAAAAAAGACACCTACGATACCCTTTCAAATTCAATGCAGTTGGATTTTGTAAGATGCTACCTAAACTTTCACCTGTCGAGACTTTGGCTGGAAGGGAGTGTACTCAGCCTGATCATTCATAGGGCAGACCTCTGAAAGGAGACTGAGCGAGCCCCCTACTGAAGCCCACCGAGCATGCACAGGAAGCATTTGTAACCATCTTAGCTGAATGTAGTTTGAGTGTCAATTTAAATTCCAAAACATGAGGAAGTTTGTTCATGGGGCAAATGCTAGAAATAGCAGAAAAGATAGTTTAAAATATATAAAACTCCCCCCCCCTTTTTTTTCTCATATTGGGGATTGAACTTGGGACCTTGAGCTTGCCAGGCGGGTGCTTGTGCCCTTGAGCTATCTTCCTAGCCCCAAACTTGCATTTCTTGAAAACAAATGTAGTTTAGTAAATCACAGATTATGAAGAATCTTTATAGATCATATAGAGCATGAGTGTACTGCGTGGTTGGTACTCCTGATTGCTACGAGTATACATACCTGACACAGCAAAGGAAAGTAGGTGGTGGTGATACCTGGTCTTCCTTGAGCACAAGCACAGTCACAGCAGGGGAATAGAATAGAAAAATCAAAACTATGATCTTAATCTCAGATGTCACCACTTACACACAGGGAAACCTTCCTCAGTGTCTCCCGTCATTGTCATTTCATCATGTGCCCCACAGAGATCAAGAAGCCCAAGGCACTGCCACAGCAGAACCTTTGCCAGATACACTAGGTTCGAGAAGAAAGAACAGGGGAGACACAGGTATGCATATCTGTACAGGAAGACAAGACACAGGAAATACTAGAGACTGGGATTAGAAGATGCTACAGAACATGCAAAAATTATTTTCTTACTATGACAATCAGTTTAACAAGATGAATTTTTTGGCATTTAAATTTCTTAAAAAGTTTTTTGTTTTATTTTGAAGAGAATAAAATTTCAATCAACATTAGAAAGAATGCAGAATTTCAAAAACCAAGATGATAAGAATTCAATAGTGGTTGCTGTATTGGATATTGTTATTTTCAAAGTAGTTATTTAGATTACTGGATATAAGCATGAAAAAATGGTAAAAAAACTTTAGCACTGGTTTTTTTCTTTCAATAAACAAATAGGAGTTAGCAGTGTATTTTACCTATGATATATATATATATATATATATATATATTTTCCTTTTCTTTTCTTTTTTCTTTCCTTTCTCTTTACCCTCATCCCAGTTGTTTTTCCTTTTGGGAAGTTTCTATCCCTTTCATAATTTCTATTGCAACTTTTAGATTTCATTGCTCTTTTGCAAAATACTAGGATTAGAGGTCCCATTCATCCCAGCAATTTCCCTTCTGGGTATTTTTCCAAAAGACTGAAAACATCATATTACTGTGATATATATGCATCCCTGTTTACAGTAACACAATTTGTCACAGCTAAATATTGGAAACAACCTAAATGCCCATCAGGTGAGAATTAGCTTAAAAATATATGGTATTTTTACACAATGGGATACTTTTCAGCTATAAAGAAAGATAAACTAAAGACTTTTATAGGCAAATGCATGAAACTAGAAGTTATACTTATAAGTGAAATAAATCAGACCGACCTATGTAAACCTCATATTTATTGTCTTCCCAGTGTAAGAATGTGGAAGAGAAATAATTTGAATAGATAGTTCTTCATAAGAAATTGACAGGGCAGAGCATATAAAATGAACTCAAAGTCAAAGAGCTAAAGAATACAGCGAGAAAATAATGTGACTCATGAATCAAGTAGAACAAATGCACAATGAGTGATAGAAAAATGTATATTTCATACTATCACATGAAATATGATAAGAAAAACTTGATATTCATAGTGAACGCTAATGAAAGGAAAATGAAATCAGAAAGTAACCTGGCGGGTAATGAGTCTAGACAGCAGACAATGACAGTTCACTTGTGTCTGAAGAAGAGAATTTTAAAAATCTGTTAGAAAATGTTCATAAGATAAAGAAAAGTATTACTCAGCTATAAAGAATGATAAACTCAAAGCCTTTATATTGAAGTGGATGCCACTTGAACATATACTCATAAGTGAAATAAACCAGACACACATGTATAAATATCATATATTTTCCCTAATATAAGAACTCAAAAGAAGAAATACAAATAGAAAGGTATAATACAAGTAAAAGGAAAGGGGCTGGTGAGATGGCTCAGTGGTCTAAAGCACCTACTTGGAACAAGCTTGGGAAAGCACAGGGACCGCAGTTCAATCCCCCAGCACCACATGCCAGCCAGGCCCGCCCCCTGGTGGGCTGAGCTGGCCACACACACACACACACACACACACACACACAATAAATAAATGTTTAAAAAAAAAAAAACAACAACAAGTAAAAGGAAAGCAGGATCTCGAGGACTAACTAATCAAAAGAGGGAAAGGAGAAGAGCTAGGAAACATGACAATGTGAAGCCATACAGTTATATGTAGTAAATGGGCAAGGCAATAATCCTGAGAATCACCAGAAGATTTTTGAATCCAGCAGTTAATTGGAAAGATTCTCACCCTGACTAACTATATATACTGATACCTGTGAACTAAGCAACTGCACTGAAGAAGGTAATCTGTAATAGTAGTTTCATGTTTGGAGTGCCTGTCATTCTGGTCTTCTGAATACGGGCTGCTTGTCATGACATGACAGTTGCTTCTATGCTGTCTCTAGGGTAGATGGTTGTTCAAAAAGAAGGGGGTGGTGAATGAAAGCAAGAGACAGGAAAAGGAATATGGTGGGACTGTCCTGCTTCAAGGTTGTATATGGTTAGATTTTTGGTCTTATGTGTAAACATAAGAAATATATAATTCTTTATGCCTATTTTTAAAAATATATTCTAATTTTTAAAAGTTTTTCATCATATTCTATAGGGAATTAAAGTTCAACATATCAATACTTGATGAAAAATACCTGCTCCATGTTATGTCTAAGATGTTTGATATTCAGACAGATAGTGAGGTTAAACTTAACAGCCTAGGTTGTATGGTAATAACAATAGACTTCTCTTCTGGATGGTTAACAACCTAAGTATGCAGACCAAAATTAGAGAAACAGGAGGGCCACAAGAAAAGCCAACATTTTGGCCCTAGCTTTCCAAGGTCAATTAAGACTCAGGACATATGAGAACTTATACTGTAATGTCATGTAACTCAGTAGTGTCTCAAATTTTCTGATCAAAGAGATTATGGGGCCAAAGTGGAAAGTGATCGATGATGTAGAGTGTGCCTAAGGAGGGTCACATGGAGGGAAAACATTGTCTCAGGCTTTCACAGAGAGCACATTGGCCAAGCAATGGCCGTGACTTATCCACATGGTTGACACTGACAAATGTTCTATAATCTGAGGTACAGGATCTCAGGATAAATCCTGAGGAGATTTCACTGACCTTATCAGACCCAAAAGCTACAACTCTTGTTGCATAGGTCCTGCTTTACCTTGGTCTTAGCCATCCAGCAGAAAAGTATAAAAAAGAAGTATAAGAAGTAAAGCCATGCTGTTATGTTGAACTTTAGGAGACTCAGGTCAATAATTTCCGACATTGCCAGTGAAGTGGAAGACCCAATACTCTTATGGACTACTGAACTCTTTTAGAATATTTTGCTGAGTTTACACACCTATAATATTTAAATGATGAAACTTAACAAAAAAGGGGATACAGATGAATGTCCATTTTGTATCTGTGTATTCAAAGCAGTTAGGATAGATATATAGTTACATTCTCTTAATGAATAGAGGGATTTGTTCTAATGGTGTTTGTAAATAGGATATCAAGTCCGCATCTTGTACAGCAATTAACCACTAGGAAGAATGTATGCAATGTGTTAATAATTGAAACTGTCCTACCAATTTGGTTTGAAACTGTCTCATTGCTATTTGTTTCTCAATAAAATTATGGAAAAAAAGATAAAGCAAGTATATTCCTGTGGTGAAGCAGAAATTAAATCAGAAAAACATAAAAGATAAAATTCTTGGAAGTTTTATCCAATATGCTTTACACTGGAATATATTCTTGTTAAAGTTTTGAGAGTCCAAATAAAG